CTTTGCCGAGGCATCGAGACGCAAGGGAATGGGGATTTGTGGATTCGGCGTAATGGCGGTATGTTTGCGCGCGGGGTTTCCGTCTGCTCTCATTCTGAGTTCAGGGTCTTCAGTTTCGGGCTTCTATTCCTTTTTTTCCGCATCGCGTTGCTCAACTATTCGGGCCCACCGACCTTTAATATATTCGAAGTTTTTGAACATTTCGGGGCAAGGATCGGGTCCAAGAGAGGCGACAGAAACGAGGAAGCTCCCGAAGCGGTGTTTCGTGTGAAAAAAAAAAGAAAAACGTCTAGACGAAGCGAAAAGCATTAATAAATCAAAGGACACGTGATAAATGTTGCAGCTGTATTGGGGAAGGAAATAAAAAAAAAGTAAGGCCGAGGTTAAAGTTAAAAGTTGGATAAAGGAGCCGAGAAGAAAAATGTCCCTGAAATTCGTCTGAGACGGAATGAAAGGAACCGACAGCCGAGATTCAATCCATGCGAAAAAGGGGGGAATGGGGAAGAAAGGGGAGAGATGTCTCAATCGATAAAGGACAACAGGAGGGGAGAAAAAAAAAATCAGACCGAAAAAGTCAAGGTCAAACGTGGATTCAAGGAGGAATCGAAGAGGAAAACCCTCCCGCGAGTCCACGGCGTCCCCGTCCACGGCGTCCTCGTCCTCACGCCGGCCCCCGCGAGTCCGCGCGGACGTGACTGGATTGCCTCATGGGAGGCGCGCCGGTTCCACTCCTTAGTATGCAGAGAGAGAAATTAAGAAAAAAGATGCTGACTGCATGCTCAAAGGGTTAACGACGCGCACGGAAAGTATTTTAACGATTCACCTGCGAGTTTAAGCAATGGAATTTTAGCTCGTCCGTGGCGACTTTCTCCGGATCTCCGAGTGTCTCTGCGTTCGTTTCGAGCCGGCTCTCCTCGCTCGTCTTTCGCGTCGAAATTCGGAATTTCCGGGCGGCGATCGGGGAACGTTTCCCTGTAGGGTAGGAACTGCGGTCGAGGATGCAATCCGTCCTGGAAAATGACGCAGCGAAACTCGGAACCACCTTGAGTAAGAGGAAAGTCACGGCGATGGAGAGGGAACTCGGGGAATTTGGTGCAGCCGACAGATTTGCTTCAGAGAGCAAGGATTTTAGAGTTCGAGCCATTAAGAACCGCGGAAGGGAAGGGGGGATCGGCGTCCCGCTGCGACCCGGAAGGCCGGGGGTGCGTGTCCGGCTCCCCTGGCATTTCACGCGCTCTCGTTTGCTGGGACGAGGCAGGAGAGAGTTCGAGTGCGGAAAGCGATACGAGAGTCGTCCGTATCGCGATGAATTCCACGAGATCATCGAAACTAGCGAAGTGCCACCGAGAACGAGAGATCCGGAACCGATCTCCAAAAAAAAAAAAGACTATCGTCACGCGGAATCGCTTGCAGATGCAGTGCATGGAGATGGACGGAGCGATGCCGGGTCCATCCCCTGCCCAGGCCTTCTTCAGCCCTTCCCCCTTGGGCCTGGACTCGCCGGGCGGAGGCCCCTCCCCCTACAGCATCTCCCCGCTTCACTCCCCGCCCAGCTCCTCCAAGCCGATGTTCTTCTACAATCCGACCAGGATCCTCTCCGATAACACGAACGTCCCCCTCAAATCCGACCCGTTCGTCGCTTCCATCCTCCCTCTTCCCCTCCCGTCGCCGCGCGAGGTCGTGCAACGATTCCCTCCGTTCCAGGGACGAGCCGACGAGGTCGGAGGCACCGAGGAGGTCGGAGGCACCCGGGAGAACGGAGGCAACGAAGGAAGAGGTGAAGCAGGAGATCGGGAAATCCGCCGAGGACTCGAACGACTCCGTCCTCGAGATCGTGAAGCTCGACGACACCCTGGACACCTTCAGCCAGTCAGTCCCCTCCCGCCCGCTCGATCTTTGCGAACCGAGGAACGGCCGATCCCGATTAAAATCCACTTTCGTGCCGGTTGCGCGTAACGATCAGAACCCCTTTGAAGATTTTTGTGAAGATTTCTGTGAAGGTTTCCGCGAGCATTAGAATGCGTGAGAGGGTGAAATCGATCACGTAATCCGATTAGGTAATTGGATTTTAGTCGACCTGTTCCTGAACACAATCTATCAGCGATAACACGAATGCAATTAAACCGTATGTGAATGCAAAATGAATTAAAAACCAGAACTTTCGTTGCATGCAATTGGCACAAAGACAGCGACTCTGTGCAAATATTGATAGAAAATCATTCTCAGCAAATTTGAGAATATAGAGTTTTTCTCTCCTTTTTTTTTTTTAAGCAAAAATTAATTTGCGAAATCTTCGCTGTTAGCGCTTTGGAAGAGGCAACCTGTCCTGATATATTTTCTCACATTGAATCGGATAATCTCTCGCTGAAATCATCTGGGCTTCGTGCCATGCGCATTCCTAAAGAAATCTCGCAGAAAGGTTATTTATTTCTCTTAGAGAAAGAATTGAGGAGCGTGACGATCTTCTTGCCCTTCTCGGCCCTCCCTCAAAAAAAAAAAAAAAAACAAGGATGCCAGAACTAATTGCACTACCAAAAAACGTGAACTTCCAGATCCGGCAGCCTGAGCTGCGTGATGAGCACGGCCATCCGCAGCGAATTCGGCGGGGGGACGCAGCCGCCCGCGGACGGCGCGCGGGACCCGCGACCGCCGCCGCAGCTCAACGCCGCCGAGCTCGCGCGCCTGTTGGAGCTGAAGAAGGCGAACCAGGCGCTGGACTCGCCCATCGACGGCAGCAAGCACCTCATGGTCCGGTTTCCCGTCTCCTCTTTTCGTCCGCCGTCTCTTCGATGTTCAGTGTAGATTATGGTTTTAAATGTTAAATTTTTAAAATTCGGTTCCTGGTTTTTATTGAAATTTTTTTTTTCTTTTCGACATGGATTCATTCGCATATGAGCATCTTCTGGCTTTATTCATCCCAAAAGTCCGTGTAGAAATGTACCACACCGTGATTCATGAAATCGGGATCCCCTAAATATTTTATTTGAATTCTCATATTTGCATGTCCATTTCCATGGAATTACAGTATGAACGATTGTAGTTCAAAAACAAATAATCATCATGATAGTCACAGCTCTTTTATTGTATACAATAGTAATCTCTTCCCTCCAAAATGTTTACTCTGATAACATGCTTGTCTTCTCCGCCGAACGCCATTTTTCAGGATATGCTGCTACGGATTTATAATTACAGCATTAATCATCATCATCGACTAAAAGTCAATTTTAATTTTCAAACAATTATCGGAAATACGAAGCTTCTTTATAAGGCTTGTTCTGTTCAAATTTCGTTTAAGTGGACTAATAAATATGAGAGTTATAATTAAATATTTAAGGGGCGGGGTCCCGATGTTACGAGTCACGGTGTATATCGCCATAAATATCGGGACAGGCCCCCCTCCGCCGATGACAGATCGTCCCAGAGGTCATGTGCCTTAGAGGGCAAAAAAAGTCCAAAAGTGCAGGAAGGTAATCTGCAATCTGTTACAGTCGGCGTTTGCCAGCATGGCGCTTGGATCGGAACCGACGGAGTTTTGAACGCGCAGCGATTGTTGCTCGTCACATTGTCCTTTGTCCCAATACTTTCGGCGATGTCGATGGATGGATGCCTCCTAGACGGAGGCCATGCTCTCAATGGGCGATCCGGAACCGAGCGCAGTCCCGACGCAATGTTCCACGCTCTATTAAAATCCGTTTGGTCACCCCCCCCCCCCCCCCTCCCCC